CCTGATGGCTCCTTGATGAACAGCTGGCGCTCGATCCCTACACCAAAATTTGAAGAATTGTAATTTATGAAGGGATGAGTCCACAAGGTCACCTTAAACCCATCTTCCCTCAGTTTTGTGAACATTTCTGTGACATTGGGGAACTTGATGGGGTCAAAGTCAAAGTCCCCATAGGCTTGCGTGTATGTGTCATCAATTTCAATGTGACTACAGTTAAAACGGTACTTTTTAATCTTTTCTGCAAACCTCAGGAGTTTATCCTGGTCAATATCATTTTTATAGAGGGCCCAAGTGGACCAGATGGGGTAGCGGAAGGCGTTTTCGGAGGGGATCTTGGAGGGCTTGTTGAAGTAGCGGCGCACCATGTACTTGTGGATGGAGGTGACGTCCGAGCCCACGCACACGCGGTAGCTCAGCTCGGGGAAGGGCTGTTGTCCCGGTGGGGGCTTGTAGGGCGAATCCTTGTAGCGCGCCTGGAAGAAGAGGGTGCGCTCCGTGGCGTTGAAGCCCAGGTGGAAGGGCACCGCGTCGTTTATCTCGATGCCCGCCGCTTTGGACGAGAGCCAGTAGCGCTCCAGGATGCCCCCAACGCTGTCGCGGAAGGAGTAGACGTCGCTCGTCACGTAGGGCACGGGCTCCTGGTAGCCCGCGAGGCGGATGGGCCAGTGCTGGGTGCTCATCTCCGAGCCCCCGTACCAGTGGGCGTCCTCCCAGAACATGGTGTGCTCCACCGCCGGGCCCGCTGCAAACTCCTCCCAGCGCACGCGGTAGCACATCACCGTGTCCTTGGGCTTCACCGTCTGGATGAAGAAGTTCAGTGGACCCCTGTCCGAGCGCGTGCAGCTCAGTATCTCTCCCTCCTTGGAGCACGACTCCAGGTCCAGGCTCCCTGAACGGAAAGCCAGCCGGAAAACCACCTCCCCATTCTGGTTCTTGATTACAAACCCCTCTGGACGCAGGTCCATCAGCTCCGTCTTCAACCTCTCTGCCTTCCGCAGGGACGCTGTGTAGTAGCACCAAGCCACCACAGCGGCAATGAAGAGGATGAGGCCGAGCAGGATGGCCCCGAGCATGGGCCTCAGCTCTTTGGTGGGCTTCTGCTTCACAGGGGTAAAGTTTTCAGGCAGGAAGGTGTACATGGTGCTGTTTTCCTCTATTTTACTTGTGCAAAGGGTCAGGAAGAGAAACGTCTTTGCAGGAAGCCCTATAGCTCAGAGACTGGTAGTTTCTTCTCTCTGTCTATGGCGTTGACCTTACTACGCTTGCGAAGGAAGAAAATGGGCCGTTAGAAGCGTTCCCATGTCTGCTGTGTCCCAGAGCACTGGTCTCTGAAAAAGAAGAAGGATATATATAGTCTCTGAAGAGTCTCAGAATCAAAGGATCACTTGTCATCTCCCTCCCCTCTCCATTTCAGTAGCTCCATGTGGCCCCCACCATCATGTGCCAGGTGTTGTACATATCTCAGCAGACACTGCCTCAACATAACCACAGAGAAAACAAAGGCAGACAACAGCCTGACCCCTCCATGCACAGGAGTACCCCAAGGCCATAAATGCCAAGCCATTGCCTTAATTATATTGTGGGGAGGAGAAACAAGATCCAGCAAGGAGGAAATCATTATTGGGTCAATGGGGAGAGAGATAAGGAAGGGCAGGGGGCAGGAGGTGAAGAGGCTGAGTAGGAGCAGGGCTGGTGCATAGATAGGTGTCTTTAGCAGACAGGGCTAATTTACAGCCATGAGAGACACTGTGTCATGAAATCCAGTGGCTGATTCTAATTTTAATCGATTTGTCTCCTTGGCAGATTAAATGCAGATCATCTCTCAGGCTGTTCCCTCCCTGTCCCCAGCACTCCTCAGCTCGGGCTTGTACCCAAGGACATTTTGCTGCAAAAGAGGATGAATCCCAGTTTTTCTATACGACCAGGTGGCCAAAAGGAGGGAGTAAACGGGCAACTTGTAGCCAGCTCCAGGGCACATTAATTTTGTTGGGGACAGGGCATCTGAAGGGCTTTTTCTTCTAGCTGGCTGACTCCATCCTGCACCCTCCTGCCTTGTCCCCAGGAGCAAGACGGCCTTTTAGGCCAGCACGGAGAGGCCAAGATCCTAATGGATTCTCTTGGCCAAGGGCTTGCTCAGCTCAGCCAAGCACAGTTTGGAAATGGAGAGAGAGGCAAGAAGTGAAGTCAGGACATGGGAGAGTGGGAAACAAAACCCCAGGGGAGGAGAGAAGCTGCAGAGAAGCTGGAAACCCAGAGCAGGGTCCCAGGGCAGGGTCCCCTTACCCTGTTTTGTGTCACAGCATGCAAACCAGGGGGGAAATAAAGCCTTCTTTTCAGGTAAGAGCAAAGCTGGTTGCAGTGATTTCCTCTACGGGGTCAGCTTGTTTCCAAAAGAAAAGCACTCTAGAACAAAAACACAGTTTCTCTCTGTGCTTCATCCCTGCTGCATTCATTATGGGAGCACATTTCCTCTGTACCTTGAACAGATCTTTCTCCCAGGGGAGAAAAAAAAAGGCAGAAAAAGCAGAATCTTCCCCCCACCCTGCCCCTCCCCATCAATTTCTGTGAAATCTATTTCTTTCCTCCCTTGGCTCAACAGAGCATGTTTGTGAACATGCTAAGCGGCAAATACGATGCACTGGGGATAAGGAAAATCATGGGCATGGTGGCAGGAAAATAACATCATATTTTGTATGTGTCCTGAAGCAGATATGGGGCCCGATGTGGCAGCTGGAGGAGGGACAGGGATGCAGTCAAGACGATCACAGCAGCTCAGCCGGGGCCGGTCGTTTTAACTGTCTGGGGCAGCCTGTAACCTCCCAGGCTGCCAGTTGCTTTAAATGGGATTAGGGTGGAATTAGTCTGCGATTAGCCCGAACAAGTGATAGGTTTAGCGAGATGACCTGCACCGCCGCCAAGTGCCACGGAGCTCCGGGAGCCTTCGCGCGCCGGCTTGGAGAGCCTGGAGGGAGGACACGGCGCCTGCAGCATCCCGCGTGTGCATCCTGCGCCTGCCTGAGCCCCTCCTGCCCCACACAGCTCCAGGCTGAGCACAACCGCTCACAGAAGAAGACGGTGGGAGATGCTGCTCTTGTTAGCACATCCCTCCATCCCCACCATGCTGACCCTCCACCGGTTCCAGGGGTCTGACGCCTGTGTATGGGAAAAACCCATATGTACCTTTAACCTAAACGCAGTCCCTCCCTAGCCGTGCTGGGAATTCTTGGGATGCCAGTGGGAATGGGAGGCCAAAGCCTTGGCTATTGGGGAATGGGTGCCAGCGCCAGCTCTCTCGGCACCGGGGAGCTTGGGGACGGGTGAGGTTGTCACTTGAGGAGAAGAAAATAAAATGCAACGTATCCACCCTGCTGGCCGCACGAACTAGTCCAGGAGAAGATGTTTTACCAGCTCCCACATCTTCTGAAGAAAAGGAAATAAATGGGGGTTTCTCCCCTAGCTCCTTGTTGGGTTTTAAGCCCCAGGAAGGGCTGACCCTACTGCCTCTCCATGCTGCGTTGGAGCCAGCCACCTCCCAGCCTCCTCATGACGCTGGGAGCAGCAACGCAGCTCCCTGGGGCGCCAGGGACTTTCTGGGCCCAACGTTCCCTTCCAGGAGGCTGGTTTAT